AATTTGAAGCCTAAAATTGATATGGGTTGATCAGAAGTGTATATTAGAAAACATTGAGCATTAGACCAATGTGTTTGATTACAAGAGTAAGATAAAAGTTGCTATATTTACGATTACAAATATTGCCCTTAACCCTAACCCTCGTTGATAAAAAGTACATTATCTGTACCTGATGCTGATTTCAGCCGAGTACTCGCTCAACGCTATTTATTATACACGTGTGTTTTGAAAAAAAACAGTGTGAAACCCGTATGGATTCTTATAGATGCCTGTGTCTGTTACATATAACCTACTCTAGTCCACTGAAGGACTCCCCAATGTAAAACCAGTGTTGAGGTTGTACAACGCAAGGGCACACAGCATTTTACACTGTTTTTTTTTAAAGAAAAAATGTCATCATCATGCGCCATATTTTATGTAAATATCTGTTACACAAGCTCATCTATATTTACAAAGTGGTGTTTTAAACGTCTTCAGAGTGCTCTACTCATCTCACAGCCTTTTTCATTTGATGTATCTAAAGCACAGAGAACGAGGACTCGGTGGTGTTGAGCTGTGTCAAAAAAAACAAAGATGAGCACAGTTTGTTTTGTTTTATTTTATTTTCATTCACCAGCAATGCCATTTAGCAAATCATTGTTGTTCGGTGGCCCATATCTGTAAGTGATGTGGTTTTGTATGCATCTACGGAGGAAGGGTTTTTTAATGTTGTGATGAGATTGTGTTAACGGTTTGACAAAAGAAGATGACTTTTTGGATCTTCATTATTTTGCCTAATTATTTCTTGAGGGATTGGCAGGGCATTTTGATGCAGTTTACTGTGCACTGATGTGGGTTAAATATATTGAGGATTTCTTTGTTTTCAGCACCTTGATTTTGTATGTACTGAAGTTACTACTTGTTTATTCGTCATTTATTTACATTACAAGGGAGTACTTTAAAGATCTGATCTTTAATTCTACATAGCAGGCTAAGAGACCGCAGTTAAAGGGGTTAATTAAGAGTCTGATTGGCCTTAAAGTGTCCCAGGGGTGCTCCCATCTCTCTGAGCGGCCCCAGTCAGCCAGGTGGCGACTGAAACAGCTCCTCACTTTAGTCTTAGGTAAAGCACATTTGTACAGACTGAGGACCCTGAATGCTTCAAAATTCTGTTGTTCATTTGCCAAAATTATCTTCAATAGTTTTGTTTTACTGAGATAAAACAAAGGCTAAAATGTATAAGCGTGGTGGTCCGAGTGTCTGGTATAGACTTCTGTATTCATCTTTGCAAAAACAGCAGCTTCATAATAAACGTCATGTATTTCCATATGGAGGCATAAAACAGAAGGCTCTTTGCTGATAAGTTATGTTAAGTGCACTTTGTAGCGTTACCTAACCCCCAAATGCACAACCTGACGGCTGTGTTCAGCTCTCACCGCCCCGACCTCAACTGCACTTAATAACAAAACAAAAACATGTCACCCTCGCGTATGCTGGCCATGACTGAAGCAAGTCCCAACCCTGACACACCGTCCCCTGATGACAATGGCCGTGTCCCTCTATGTTTTTATTACAGCGTTTGTCAGTTCTGTATAATAGTCATAGTGTCTGCTGTACATAACTTGCTGTCCATTCTGTACAGTTCTGATATTTGTCTATATCAATAGTAGGCTATGTTTAATAGTATAATCTGTTTTAAGCAGGTATCATGCCAAAACTGTGTGACATCTATTGAAGACAACGTGTTATGGGCCACTGGCAATACATACTATATGTAAATACGATTTTATTTGTGCTACATTGTATAATTTCTTTGTGCTCGTTCATAATACCAGTGAGAATACAATCCTTTTTTTGGCAACTTTTGATCTGCAGAGGACTTTATTTGAACAATGTGTTGTTTTTTTCTCTCTCTCTGAAGAAAAAAAGGAGAAAAAAAAGAGAAATGATCTCCTCTTTCCTCTCCACTGTGATGGGGAGCTTTACACAGAGGCTGTTTGAGATGCTGTCTGTCTGCAGGAGGACCATAGACTCTGGATCTGATTAAAACATCAGAATCTCTCCTAGGTCCCAGCAGACGTGTGGCCGATGGCGAAAGGGGTCAAAGGTCTCCTCTTGGCCAAAAAAACCCCACCACTCAACCTCTGACTGACTGTAGCCTATTTTGATCCTCTTTCAGATGAATAACTGTGACTTTGCATCATGAATAGTATATTATTTTGAATGTAATCTAGAAGGGTCGGGACCTTTTTTGAATGTAATCTATCTTGAGGGGGAGGGGGGGTTAATGATTTTTTTGTAAATATATGGTAAAAGAAAAAAAGATGACAGTTTTCATTCCTGTGCAGATAACAAATTTTACTTACTGTGTGAATACAAAGAGTGAGCGTATGTGTTCGTGTGTGTGACTAATGTCTCCGAGATGGTGGACAAGTATGCAAGTGTGTGTGCGTGTTAGTGTGTATGTGTGTGTGAGTGTG